GAGGTATTCCGATTTAGTTTATGTCGAAACTCGTAGAGCATATGCATATTTGTTTTCTTGAATAAGTTTCCACGTTGATTTGTGTTATGTTTGCGATTTAATTTGTATGTTATTTTTACCCGGATTAAATTATTAGAGTTTTAAAAAATTAGTTAAAAGTTGAGAAATAATTTTTATTGATAATAAAATTGTTCACAAATATCTTTTACTATTTTATATGTAATTTCGTGAATGTTATGTTCATATATTTATTGTTTTTATTTAGTTTAAATTATTTATTTGCTTAAAGAATAGTGATCTTTTAGCGTAGTAAAATCTAGAGTCTTATAGCGTAGTAAAATATAGAGCCTTTTAGCATAGTAAAATATAGAGTCTTTTAGCGTAGAGTCTCTGTAGTTTAAGTATCTACTAACTACAAACTCTATCCAATTACACTTTACAAAATTAATTATTTAATAATAAACTTACAGAACTAACAAATTAATATATGTTGTCAAATTAAATATCGAGCATGGAACTCATAGTTATATATCCTGTCCAATTAAAAATTAATTATTTAATTTATAAAACTAACAAAATTTTAAAAATATTGAAATTGACACACATAAGAATTCAGGATAACTTGGTCCTAGTGGAACCCATAGATAATTTATTAAACTCACGAAATTCTAAAAAATTTGAAATTGACACACATAATAATTAAGGATAGCTTGGTGCTACTGGGCCACAAATATCGAGCATGAAACCCATAGTTATATACTATGTCCAATTAAAAATTAATTATTTTAATTATTAAACTAACAAAAATTTAAAAATATTGAAATTGACACACTTAAGAATTAAAGATAGCTTGGTGCTACTGGGCCTCAAATATCGAGCTTAGAACCCATAAATATTTACTCTATCCAATTAAATAATTTATTATTTAATTATTATAACACAAACAAAATTCTAAAACTATTAAAATTGACACACATAAGAATTAAGGATAGCTTGGTGCTACTAGGCCTCAAATATCGAGCCTGGAACCCATAGATATTTAGTTTGTCCAATTAAATAATTAATTATTTAATTATTATAACACAAACAAAATTCTAAAAATATTAAAATTGACACGCATAAGAATTCAAGATAGCTTGGTGCTACTAGGCCCAAATATTGAGCCTGAAACCCATAGTTATATACGCTGTCCTATTAAATAATTAAATATTAATTATTATAACACAAACACACAATTAATATTGTTTAAATTACAGTAGATGACATGGACTTGCCGCCTGTGCATCCTGGACCAACCTCAGATCAGATATTAGTGTTACAGGGCGAACATAGGTCCGCCTACATATGGGAGGGACATCTATTGGATCAGAGTCTCCATGCCAGGAGACCGGACTACTTGTGGGACTTTTTGAGGCAGAGAGATTTACATCCCCACGTAGTCCATCGCCTGTGTGCTACGGTCTTCCTTAGGATTTTTGAGATTGGGCGGCTGCAGCTCGACTGGTCTCTCATCACGGCGTTGATAGAGCGATGGCGATCAGAGACGCACACTTTTCACCTTCCCACTAGAGAGGCCACCATCACGCTTCAGGATGTTCAGGTTTTATATGGGCTTCGTGTTGATGGACTGGTCGTTGCACTGCCCCAGTATATGAGAGCTATGACGCGTGCCCAATATTTGGATTTGCTGGGACAGTATACTGGTTTCAGGCCACAGGGTGAGGCTGTAATTAGAGAGGGCAGTCGCATTTCTGTGATAGCTATCAGAGAGCATATGGAGGTATTGCACCCCGACATTACTGGCGAGACAGAGGATCTCCATATTTACCGGTACACGAGGTTGGCTTTGTTCCTTATTTTTGGGGGTGTGTTGTTCCCGAACACTTCGGGAAATCTAGTGATTATGCGCTTTCTACATCATATCCAACAGCTAGATGAGTTACCCCAGTATAGCTGGGGTGCTGCTGTTCTAGCCTACCTGTACAGGAGTATGTGTCGGGCTAGCATGGGCATCCAGGTAGACATATGTGGTTTTCTGCCGCTTCTACAGGTGACAACATATTCGAATACTCTGTTCATTACTTCGAATTCTATATAGTCAAAATGGCTCTTAAATTTTACATCAACCGTTTATATTAGGTTTGGGCCTGGTAGTGGATCCTGCCGTTGCAGCCATCTCTACCACCATTAGAGCCGGGTGTACCACCTCCGTTTCTCCCTCTAGCTAGGAGGTGGGTTCTTTGGCGTGGGAACTACCGAGGCATTGACGCTCATCATAATCTCCCCCTTGTCAGGGATGTCTTGGATATGCTGGAGGCCGCACAGGTAAATATGTACCTAAACTTACTTGTTATAAATTCACTTGCGTTGCGCATACTCACTTTTATGTTATTATTTTATAGTTCATCTGGACTCCATACAACGACAAGTTGCTAGTTGATCTGCCCGATTATTGCTCGGTCGACCGACAGCTTTGGAGCACTTCCGTCCCGCTGATGTGCCTCGATGTTGTGGAGCATCATGCCACAGAGTGGGTACTTCTCCAGTTTGACCGTCCCCGGACTATACCGAGGGATCCTGGATGGGTGGCTACTCATTATCAGCGGGATGATCATTTGAGGGTGGACGACGCATTTGTAGAATGGCTAGAGGCGCAGGTCCTTATTTGGGAGCAGCGAGAGGATTTGATTCCGCCACCACCTTCACAAATCCAGGCGGCGACTATTGAGCTCTATATGTCATGTACAACTGTCACACCCGACTGATGATCGGGAACCCCATTCATGTACCTGGCGATCGTTTCAGACTATACGCCGGGAGGCACGAGGCACTGGTATGTTTTTGTTTGAACCCATACTTATAACTATGATATAGCGTTATGTAATTAATATTTTAAATGTTGTGCAGGCTATTGGGCATCACATGTTCTACCAGGTGGGATAGGAGATGCAGCAGCATGCGGACAATGTTGCAATCGTTGAGTATGGCCGGCAGGTGGAAGAGCTGGCTCTCCGAACCCTGCAACGGGCTAGAGAGGACAAGAGGTTGGATCACGAGCTTGAGTATGCAGCGCCAGAGCATCACCATCGGGGTAGGCCTGTCCTACGAGGCAGGGGTCAGGCACGAGGCAGGGCTGCTCCACGAGGCAGGGCTTTCCCACGAGGCAGGGGTACCCCACGGGGTCGCGAGGGACGGCGAGGAGGTGGTCCCCAGTAAGGGGGCGTTGAGGCACCTGTCGACCCACCTGTTGAGTCACCTAAGGAGGATCTTGGAGATGATCAGCCAGGTTATTTCCCTCAACAAGACGAGCCTTCCAGCGGCATGCCATTGTACAGCCTTCAGCTGTCTTTACCAGCATCGCAGGTCACCCCATCATATCCATTGTTGATCATGGGTACATTCGACGGAGATGTAGACCAGTTCTTTTCAGGCCCATCTACCGCAGCTGAGGATTGGTTGAATTTTGGCTTATCCTCGGCGGTTGATACGAATCTATCATAGGCGCAAGTATGTTTGTATTACTGTAAAATTTCAATTTGTTTTCTTTTCCTTAATGATTTACCATAAATTATTTTTTAATTTTCTTATTAAGGCTTAATCCCAGCCCATCACGGAGGCTACTGTATGCGATGATGAGGACACCACGGATGCTTATACTCAAGAGGCCGACAAGACCATGGTGAGAAAATGTTTTTGACTTAATACGTACATTACTAATATACATTTTCATATGCTAAGCTTAATAATTGTTTTGTAGGTTTCTGACAGCTCGACGGCCCCTTCTACCGATCCTGCCAGCTGTATTGTCAATACTGCAGGACATTCTCACATAAAGAGGTGACTTGGATGGCGGGCGCAGGTTGAATTTTGGCTTATCCCCGGCGGTTGATACGGATCTATCATAGGCGCAAGTATGTTTGTATTACTGTAAAATTTCAATTTGTTTTCTTTTCCTTGATGATTTACCATAAATTATTTTTTAATTTTCTTATTAAGGCTTAATCCCAGCCTATCACGGAGGCTACTGTATGCGATGATGAGGACACCACGGATGCTTATACTCAAGAGGCCGACAAGACCATGGTGAGAAAATGTTTTTGACTTAATATGTACTTTACTAATATACATTTTCATATGCTAAGCTTAATAATTGTTGTGTAGGTTGCTGACAGCTCGACGGCCCCTTCTACCGATCCTGCCAGCTGTATTGTCAATACTGCAGGACATTCTCACATAAAGAGGCGACTTGATGATGATGATCCTGATAGTGTACCTGGGAGACAGGGAATGCGACTCAGGCCAGAGGCTGCACTGAAGCACACAGACTGCGGGACTCATTGATTTATTTTTGTTTGTATTTTGTGTAAATACTACATTATGTAAATAATGGTAAGAATTGTATTTTAACAACAATTTTATTTTAACAGTACAACACAAATACAAACATAGTGAACCTAACGAAACATAAATTCAGTACAACTAATGAAAACACATGACAAGGGAAACATAAAGATACACTACTACGCTCAACACGTACATGTCATTATTTAGTCACCACCGCCTAGTATTCTCTGCTCCAACCACTTGAGCTGGTCTTCCAGCTTTTTTTTTTCTTCTTCCACCTCCTTGAGTTTCATCTTTAACTCCGCAACTTCTTGCTTGGATTGGTGCTCTCTTTCCCACTACTTTGTACACAAATTATGAAGAAAATAGAAATTGTCTTTATAGTATTCCTGCTCACAGGGTTCATCAATCCATACCTCAAAATTGCATGTAGGTTCGTCGGGTTGCCTATAAAACTTGTTCATACATGCCCAGTAGCAGCGTCTAGCTTCATCCCAATAATCGTGCATCATGTATTTTTTGCCGCACTTGCACCTTAGGACATAAATGGGTTGTTGAGACATTTGTTAAAGCGTAAAGAGAAACCTTAGTTTTATGGAAATATTTGTTATTGGTTATTGTTAAGCGCAAAAAATAACTAGAATGCACCATTATTTATAGATAAGATTTCACACAAAACGTAGTATTATACCACGCTTTACATATTAAAGTTTTCTGAAACGAAACAGCTTTTGCGCAGTCGGTTCAGCTTTTTCAGATCGACAAGACAACATACAAAACGTAGTATTATACCACGCTTTACGTATTAAATTTTTCTGAAACGAAATAGCTTTTGCGTAGTCGGTTCAGCTTTTTCAGACCGACAAGACAACACATAAAACGTAGTATTATACCACGTTTTACATATTAAATTTTAAGAAGGATAATAAATGATGTCTTGATTTTATAGGTTTTTTTTAATTTTAAGATTGGTCTTCTTTACTAACACCAATAAGTTGAATATTTGAACTACCATATCAGCCTCCCAATTCAAAAGATCATGTTAAAAAATAAGATGTAACAAGATTGTAAAACATAATTTTATTTGATAGATATTTTAACATACACAAGTACAGACACGTAATACAAAAAAATAATACGAAAACAAAAGACTAGGTGTATCCTTGATAGTTGGGTACATTCGACGAACTTGCACCAGGAGCTAGATTACCACCGCCACACACACCACCTGAAGGACATTTATGCCGGTCATGTCCTGTTTGCGAGCATATGCCACATTTACGCGCATAAATGGTGTCACCAGCATCCATTTGGTTCTGTATACGCGTTCTCTTTTGCACTTGCAGCTTGCACAAATAGTCCTTGTTACACACCATTTTAAAGGTTATGGCAGCCAATAATGCTCAACACCCAATGGCTACAACTGCCCACTATACGTGTCTACGTATGCAGCAACACTATATTGCCTATCGATATAGTTGGTTGCCCTTAAACCAACTTGTTGAAAGCACTTCAAGGCATGTGCGCAGGGCATGTGGTAGATGGTACATTTCCCACATGAACACAACCTGCTAGCATCATTCACCGTCTGTAGCTTATTCCCGTGGTGTCCGCGGATAGCGGTCTTAACTTCAAAAATACCTCGGTCGTGATCGTACTGTAAAAATGAATTCCAATGGGCTCGCCTCATGTACTTCTCAAATCTTCTCATTGGTATTGGCATAAATTGAACGCCTCTGTCCATCAATACCGATGCAGCTCGATGCCTTTCAACAAACCTCTACGCAATCTATTTGAATGTCATCCGGACCATGGCAGTGGCAGGCAATCCAGGGGTAGACTTCAACAAGCCATTGAATGACTCCGACACATTTGTAGTCAGGGCTCGCCATCGTCTGCCGCCATCAACATGCAATGTCCACATCTGAAGCTCTTTTCCCATCAGCTAAGTATAGGCTCGTGGATCTAACTTTCGGATCGCTTCCATGCGCCGCATGAATTTGCACTGCTAGTGCTCAGTTGTAGCCATCCACATTAAATCATGCAAGGCCTTGTCGTGATATTTCTTCTGGAAATTGGCCTTTAGGTGCCTCACACAGTAAGGGTGGTATGTATAGGGTTCCTGCCATTCAGAAAAATGCAGTACAGAACTTAAAATACCACCATGTCGATCAGATATTAGACAAATACCTGAACGTTGTTTGACAACGTGCTACTTCAAGTGGTTCAAAAAAACGTCCACGTCTCTTCGCTTTCGTTGGCACAAATGACAAAAGCTAGTGGAAATATTTGTCTGTTGGCATCTTCTGCAACTGCAATCAAAAGCTTAATATTATACTTTCCATAAACATGAGTACCGTCTATGGAAATTACAGGACGGCAATGCACAAAACCAGCAATTGCTAGTTTAAATGACCAGAACATATAGTTGAAAATATATTCCGGTCTGTCCGGACTCCGCTCACACCTTCATTCAACAAAAGTCTCGGGGTTAAATTGTTGCAGTGTGGCCATGTACCTGGGCAGAGATGAAAAAAACTTATCCCAATTACCATAAATAAGTTCAAAGGCATGTTTGCGCCTGAGATATGCCTTTCTTTTGGTTATAGTACAACCATACTCCTGGTGGACGGCTGTAATACACTCTTTAATCTTGAACCTAATGGACACTTCCAAATATGGAATCAAGACAAGAGAAATCAAGTCTACATCTAGGTTGAAGTGATTCTCATTGAATGTGTCCATTTCACATCTGTGAGTGCTAATATATTTACCCACTTTCCACAACCCTAATTTCTTCTTGCTCGCACGCAAAATCTAGTGACAACCCATAAAGTCTCTACGGTATACAGCCTTGTACACCTCCATAGTTGACTCCTTTACCGTGATCTCACGTCACTGTCTTACGCTGTAGATTTTTACGGCCCTGATTAGGCGAGCTTTATCAGGGAAATACATGCCCTTTGCCAGCACCACTGACTTATCCCACATTGCTGACCGAATTTCATCATCATCCCTTGTGAGGGCATCCACGTCCGGCATACTTGGCAAATTATCAAGGTAGGGAATATTCCACTCATGAAACGGCATGTGGGACTCGTACACTCTTAGTCTAACGGGAGGTGGAGGAGCATACTCCCTCGTCAGCTCAAGTTCGGCATCCACTTCCTCCTCATTATCATCCTCATCAGGGAAAGGTGTGTCATCTCCAGACTCACCGGCATTGTTGTCATAACCACTATCATCTTCCTGACTCTGCGCATCTGCCAAATCACGAGTCAATACGTCGTCTATGGGCAACTGTGTGAGGTCGGGAACATCAAGTTGCTCTTTTTCACTACACAAAAAGAACAAAATGATAAGCTACTCAACTTGATAAATAATTTACATATAGCTATATCACTTTACTTACAAGTCGTAC